GGTCTGCCTCCTCCTTTTTGTGATCATTTGGGGCAAGAAAGCCATCCCCGCACTCCCCAGACGGCTATTGTCTGTAGATCTTGCACCCACTTTGCTTCCTCGCCCTGCCCACCTGTGCAAGGGCCTGAGACGAGCTGTTCTTGGCTTCAATACTAAAACTCTCATGGCTAAATCCTGCTGTGGCTGGTTCAGTGAGGGGGGTGGTATTCATCCAGCTCTAGACTCTAGGATGTCTAGATCCACAGTAATATGCATAATATTAACCTGCATACCATTAAGGGGGCATCACTACCCTGCCTCTCTACTGGAGCTTAAATTCTCAGCTGCCAATTTCCTCTTTCTCTTAGCATCAGTGGATCTGAATCAACATCTGCTGCACGGAAGCAGCTTTCACTGGCTTCAAGGGGTGTACTGATCACATGTAGCAGTTGCAGAAGGAGGGCCATAGATTTTTTAAATGACAATGAAGCCCAGTTAAGTTACACACCAAGCTCTAAGAGGTCATTTTAATTGTGCAAGTATCCTTGACTTTTTAAAAGAAATGTTCAGCCCAGTATCATGTGTCACAGTTTCAGAGTACCTGCACCAGTGTTCCCCCTCCATGGTCACCCACTTAAAGGTTTCCAGCTCTCAGATGTCATCTCTCCTGAGGGAAGACCTGCATCTCACTCCTTTCCAACCAGGGTTTTTAAGGCTCCACAGCTCCCTGATCTGCATTGCAATACCTCCAGCAAGGGAACACCTGTGCTTTGCTTTCTCTCCAAGGGCTATGGCAGTGTATTGCCAGCAGTTACAAGTTACCACACAGCTTCTCCTAAGCAAACACATTTATTGCTAAGGTAAAAGCATTACAGAGAAAGTATATAAAGACAATAAAAGAACCTACACACATATTAGAAAGCTTACCAGAGGTCACCCCCAACTCCAACATGGGGTTCTGGTAGGGGTCAGTCCTTCAAACCCCACAAGTGGGTTTTCCCTGTTCTTACACGTTCATATCAGTTTTTAAAATCAGGAACCAGATTGAAGGCCCCGAGTCAGTTTAAGCACGGGCTTAAAAGACCTTTCTTTGTCTGTTGGTCTCTGAAGAGTCCAGTTTGAACCAGAATATGTGAGCCTTCCCAGGAGGCGGTGTGATAGGTTGTCACCCTTGGGGTGCAGTCTGGGACTGGGGTACCACTGAGCCCCCTGACCCACCAGTCTGGGCTCCCTCTCACACTGTACTGCTGTGACAAGCTGCAGAGCCCTCCAGCCTGCACTTTCACCAGCATACATACAGGTAGGGACACACCCAGCTGCAGTTACATGCAGGCTCTCTGACCAGCCGCTGCATAGCAAGGCTACAGCTAAGGCAACTCCCAGCTCCTTAGGCACACACCCCCTCTGGAGTATAAACCCAAAATTATACCATCTTGCACTGCACGTGGAACTATACAGCGTAAGCTCATAAAATTCACCCCCTCCCTCAATGCGGAGAGGAATATGCAACAGCCTTTGCCCCTGAGTTATGATTTCCACACACTTCACTCCAACTCACTGGTTTAGATAAAGCAAAAACAAGTTTATTAACTACAAAAGATAGACTGTGAGTGATTATAAGCGATAGCAAACAGGTCAAAGCAGATTACCTAGCAAATAAACAACAAACACAAACTAAGCGTAATATACTAAATAGATTGGATATGAATAGCAGACCCATCCTAAGAGATGATACAAGCAGGCTGCAGATTCTTAAGGGGCAAGCTGCACTTGCTTTACAGCTTGGAATCCCCAGGTGTTTCATTCACAGGCTAGGAATCCCTTTAGCCTGGGTCTAGCACTTCCCCCAGTTCAGTCTTTGTTCCTCAGGTGTTTCCAGGAACCTTCTTGTGAGGGGAGTGAAGAACACCAGGTGATGTCACTCCCTGCCTTATATAGCCTTTGCTTATGGAGGGAACCCTTTGTTCACACAGCTTGGTTCCCAGACCAGTCTGTGGAAAAATACAGACATCCCAAGATGGAGTCTAGAGACATGTGGTCTCATCACATGTCCTTGTAGATTCATAGCAGCCATTACTTGGAGGCTGTCTGTAGCATTCATAGGAAGGCTCCCTAGGTGGGAGATAAGCTTCTCCTAAGGCCTATTGTTTTTCCTAATGGCCCATTGCCCTGACTAGGCCCTTTCCCACCCACTATCTAGACTGAAAGCATCTTGTCTAATGGGTGCTACCCGGGTGTAACTATATTTGAAATACAGATACATAGTCAATATTCATAACTTCAGATACAAAAATGATACATGCATATAAATAGGATAATCATATTCAGCAAATCATAACTTTTCCAATGACATCTCACGTGATGTATCTTGCATAAAATACATCATAATTATGTCATAATCAAATCATAATAATATCACTGTGAAGAATATGTGGTGCAGTATCACAGGCAGTACCTCACTCAAGATGTTACAACCCGAGTGATTTGCCTTAACCATCTCCTACTGTTTTTACTTCCTGGAGGTGCTGTGGTAGCTCTCTCCCTGGGAAGTGCATACCATCCCTGGTCTACAATGATACATAAACTATTCTTATACTTAATACAATATGGTCTCCCATAGATATCGCAGGAAATTGCCCTGTCACATTACATATTTACATAACTTTCCTGGGCCAGGCCTACACTATAAACTTACATGGATATAACTATGTAGCTCAGGGGTATGAAAAGTCCATCCAGTGCAGACACCGTTATGTTGACAGGAGGGCTTCTCCTGTTGATGTAGCTACTGCCTCTTGCGGAGGTGGATTAACTACGCCGATGGGAGAAGCTCTTCCATTGGCATATTTGTGTCTTCACTAAAGCACCACAGCGGCACAGCTGCACCCCTGCAACGTGTTAAGTGTGGACCTACCCTGAGTTACAGGCAGTGGTATCAAACTAGTCATGTGCTACTTGTAACCATTTCACTGCACACTCCCTGTAATACAATATTAAGCACATGAGATGACACCATCACTTGTTTTGTTTTATTAGCATTGCATCCAATTGTGCATCTCCTCACACAGCCATGTGTGATGGCCTCCCTGTCACTTAAGTACTGCCTTGCAACTAGGCAAGAGAGGATAGCTGTGGGCGGACATGTAATTTGCATTTACATGATCCAGTGGTCCCAGCATTGTGCAAATGGCATCTAGCGGCTGCATCACCCTCTCAAAGTGACAACGGATCTGCAGGACCAAACCCTTTGAATTGACATTTATGCCTTAATAGAAGTGAAATATGGCCAAGTTCTGAGTGCTGTGGGAAGCATAACTTGGAACATCCGAAGAAGTGGGCTGTAGTCCACGAAAGCTTATGCTCTAATAAATTTGTTAGTCTCTAAGGTGCCACAAATACTCCTGTTCTTTTTTTGGGACATCCTGACTTTCATAGATTCCAAGACCAGAAGGGACCATTGTGATAATCTAGTCTGACCTCTTGTAGAACACAGGCCATAGAACTTCCTCAAAATAATTCCTAGAGATCTTTTAGAAAGACATCCAATCTTGATTTAAAAATTGTCCATAATGGAGAATCCACCATGACACTTGGTAAAGTGTTCCAATGGTTAATTACTCTCACTGTTAAAAATTTACACCTTATTTCCAGTCTGAATTTGTCTAGCTCCAACTTCCAGCTATTAGATCATGTTGTACTTTTCTCTGCTAGATTGAAAACCCATTAATAAATATTTGTTCTCCATGTAGCTACTTACAGACTGTAATCAAGTCACCCCTTAACCTTTTCTTTGTTAAGCTAAATAGATTGAGCTCCTTCAGTTTATCCTTACAAGGCATGTTCTCTAGTCCTTTATTCAGTCTCAGCATTCTTCTATGAACCCTCTCCACCAATTTATCAACATCCTTCTTGTATTGTGGGGACCAGAACTGGACACAGGATTCCAGCAGCAGTCACACTAGTGCCAAATAAAGACGTAAAATAACCTCTCCACTCCTACTAAAAATTCCCCTGTTTATATATCCCAGGATCGCATCAGCTCTTTTGGTCACAGCGTCACACTACGAACTCATGTTCAGCTGATTATCCACCATGACCCCCAAATCTTTTTCAGACTCACTGCTTCCCAGGATACAGTTGCCCATCCTGTAAGTATGGCCTAGATTCTTTGTTCCCAGAGGTATATATTTACATTTAGCCATAAATTACACCCAGTTTGCTTGTAGCCAATTTACCATGCTATCCACACCTCTCTGACTCAGTGACCTGTCCTGTTGATTATTTACCACTCCCCCAATTTTTGTGTCATTTGCACACTTTATCCGTGATGATTTTATCTTTTCTTCCAGGTCATTGATAAAATTGTTAAATAGCATAGGCCCAAGAACTGATCCCTGCGGGACTCCACAAGAAATACACTGTTTGATGGTGACGCCCTGTTTACAGTTACATTATGAGACAGTTTGTAATCCATTTAATATGTGCCATGTTAACTTTAGATGGTTCTAGGTTTTTTTTTAAATCAAAATGTTGTGCAGTACCAAGTCAAAAGCCTTAGAGAAGTCCAAGTATATTACACCAACACGATTACCTTTTTCAAGCAAACTTGCAATCTCAGAAAAATAATCAAGTTAGTTTGACTGGATCTGTTTTCCATATACCTATCTAGATTTGCATTAATTACATTATCCTTCTTTAATCCTTTATTGAGTCCCATATCAGCCGCTTCATTATCTTGCCCAGGATCAATGTCAGGCTGATGGATCTATAATTACCCAGGTCATCCCATTTATCCTTTTTAAAAATTGGCCCATTAGTTTTCTTTCAAAACTTCCCCAGTGTTCCAAGACTTATTGAAAATCAGCATTAACAGTCTAGGAAGCTCATCAGCCAGTTCTTTTAAGACTCTTGGATGCAGGTTATCTGAACCTGCTGATTTTAAAAATGTCTTACTTTAGTAGCTTCTTTTTATTGTCCTCCAGAGATACTAATGGAATAGAAAAAGAATGTTATCACAATATGATGACATTATATCATCTACTTTTTCCCAAATACAGAACTGAAATATTTATTGAACACTTCTTTCTTTTCAGCATTATTATTGATAATTCTGCCTTTTCCACCTAGTAATGGATCAATATAATTGTCAGCATTCTTTTTATTCCTAATTTTTTTAACCCCTCCTTATTGTCCTTAACTCTGTTGGCTATAGATTTCTCCTGGTGTCCCTTGGCTTCCCTTATCACATTTCTACAGTTCCTTTCTACTGATTTATATTCATTAGTATCAAATTACCCTTTCTTCTATTTGTTATATTTTTTATTTTAATTTTTTTATAGTTGCCTTTACTTCCCCTATAAACCAGTTCGCTTTTTTAACAAGTATAGCCTTCTTCCTCAATTGCGGGATTGTGGCTTTCTGGACATCTAGTAAGATATTCTTAAATGATTCCCAATTATCATTCACATTTTTCTGATTAAATTCTTCCCCCCAGCTGATTTGGCTCATAATTGTTTTCAGCTTTTGTGGGTGTAAAATCACCAATGTATTATCTGAATGCAAAACAGCACCCAGACAAACCTGTTCGTGTGGAAAAACACTGGAGATTTTTTTTGTATTTTCAGATAACGGGGGGAAAGGGCTAGACTCCTTCAGACTCCCCCAAATAAGCCACCCTTGAACTCACCATGGAGAGACATTTCAGACCAAATGATCTAAAAGCAGAGCCTGAGAAGAGGGGCCCAATTCTGCACCTGCACAAAGGTCTGCATTCTCAGGTGAGCTGAGGTAGGGAGGGCAGAGGTGGCAGTAGGACCCCTTTCTGCTCACCCAATCTTGGGGGCAACTGGAGGCCGGTTCAGCCCCTGCAGAACTTAGAGCAGCAGCGTTGAGGCCATGCCCCAATACCCAATATACCACCTATGTGGCGGGTGCAGGACAAGGGGGTGACACTAAGCCAGGTAGGCTACTTTACACATCCAGAGGCTTCCTTTATATTAGAGGAATCCCGAGCTGTCCCTTTAGAGCAGCATACAGGGGATTTAGCTCGGGGCAAGGATCTGGCTCTAATTCAATGGAAACTGGAGCAGACCCTTAGAATGCAATTGCCCTTTCAGCCATACCTGTGGCAACACTACACTTATCCTGTAAGCAAGGGCATGTAGTAATGAAAACACAGACACCGTGTTAACTCCAGCAGCACTTCCTGGCATTGCGGGAATCTCCTCAGGGCAGATTGGCCTTCAAGGATCTCTTGCAGTCTGGTGGTAAATTGCTACTAACTGTACAGCATTTTGCCCCATTTGATTTTTCCATCAATGGACCTTCCATCTCGATAGCTTTCTGCTGTTGAGTTTTTAGCCTCATTTTGTGTCTTTTGTTATCCTCTGCTTATTTTTTCCCTACTACCAAAACTTTAGATCAGCTTAGCTCCCCGCATCGGAAGAAAGACCTTCCCTTCTCTCACTGGGGTAAATCTGCAGCACCATACTTCCTGCTTCTGTAAAAATCTCTCAGCCATGCTGCCCTTTACCTTAGCATTCTGTCCTCTGGCTTTCTAATTTCCTGGCCTAAATATGTGCCTTTCCTCCAACCCTTTACACAAGACACAGGGCAGTAGAGAACCTGGCCCTTTACAGACTCCGTATTTTAGTGGAAGAGAGAGCATAGCTGGGATTTCTGCGCGGACAAATGTTGGGAGCTCATGTCACTGATTTTGCGTCATCACTTATACACATTTGCCTCAAATTCCCAAGCACATCTTGTTTTTCTCCACTCATTTCTCTTGGACATCTTTTTATTGGATATTCCTTATCTGCTTTTTGCTTACGACCCTGATAATGCATACTGGCTGACACCCTGTAGTTGGAAAGGACCCAGGACCGAATTTCACGATCTTTCAGAGACAAGCACTAAAAATAACTTCTGTGGGTGTACAGCAATCTGTGGCCCAGATGCAGAGATTTTGGCTTGGTAATATGTACCAGCTGCATAGGAGGACTTTCAAGTGTAGTCACAGACATGGGTTTTTCCATTTCACTTGACACACTCCAGCAGTCAGTTCAGCTAACTGGTGACAACAGTACATCTGAAAACAAGCAAGAGAGCTGTAAAAAAGAATCCACCTCAAACTCCAAACACTCCACATTTCCTGGTTTGAGTTTTTGGGTTGTTGTCAATGTTTCTACACAAATGCAGCATTTCCTCCAAAAATGTTCATGTTAGAAAAGAAAAAAAAACATCATGTTTAAATGCAGCTCCTTGGGAGGCATTGCTGAAGTGGGTGGAGTGGATTTTGTTACAAGACACTTCTCCAGGTGGGCTGATTAGCTGAGCCTAACTCCAAAGGGTGAGCAGAAGCAACCTGGGCTTGTCTGCTCAAGCCTGAAGGAGAGAGACAGCAGATATGTTTCTTAAAGGTGATAGAAGGTAATTGGTCTGCTGTGATCTTCAAAAAATCCCTGAAGAGGGGAGAAAGCAGGCCACCTGTCCTCACCAGCCAAAGCCACAGCTCTTTCCTTGTCAAGGAAGGGGCTATTCCGGGGGATAAAATGAGGGGACATGTGCTGAGACTGAGGGCTATGGAGGCTTCCTGTAGTTTGGTTATTTCATACCATAATCTGGATGTTAATGCAAACTGAATTCCCACCTAGTGCAGGCTTTCCTACTTCTAACTGTATCTGTTTTTCCAGTGGTAGGGCTAATGGATGGCACACTCCTGGTTTGGTGGTAGCAAGGCATGCGCAGCAGAGTGTTCTGAGTTTACTGGATATTTTCATATGCACAGGGAGGATGGTTTACTGTGTACCCTAGCTACTGTAGCGAGTTTCCTATCGTAGTGCCACGTTATGCATGTTCATTAGTTGATTCTTCTTGAAATCCCTAGAAGAATGGCTGGAATCACTGAAAAGGGGTGAAGGAGAGTGTTGTTTCAGTTTGGCAATCACAAATGAGCCAAGGAAACTTCTCCCTGTTCCTACAGTCTGTGAATCCAAGGCCAAAATAATTTGCCTTGTCCCAGCTCTAGTTTTTATTCAGCTGAACAGCATCTGGAATTCACTGCTCCTTTATAGGTGGCCCTACAGCTATGCTTGGGTGGAGGGAAGTGGTTTCATTTTTCCTTTTGGTTCCCATTACTTTAATATGATCTCTCACTGACACTCACTTTAATCTCTCAGATATCTTTGCACCTTGCAGTGGAGACTGCCAGCTTTTATTAAACTTCCCTTTGCTAATATTCAGGCTTGTGCCTGCCCATGTGTGGTGTGTAGCTTGCATGGCTCACCTGCAGAGTCATACTTTTCTAGCATCTGTTAAACAGCCAGCAGGGATCCTGGCTGTGGATGAAGGGGGAATGTTGGTCTAAGGGTGTTATCTCCCCTGGGCTGTTATTCTGGAGTAAGGTAGAGTGTGAATTTAAAGTGGAATATCTATTCCAGAATAACACCATGAGTGGAGACTAATTCTGGAACCGCTCTTCTGGTCAATTTCACTGTGCAGACAACCCCTAACTACCTCTGCTACTGCCCTTGCATCAGAGGTGCACACACCTTTTGCTGTTTGTAGGGGCATCTCTCCTCTCTTTGAACTGGGCTCCTCCTGTACTGATGACCTTGTACTCCTCACTGTAGGTGCAGTTGAGGTTCACTCACATTGCTTTGGGCTGTGTGCATGGCCCAGGGCCACACTCCTTCTCCCATGTCTTCATCCAAGGTAAAATATCCCAACTCCCTTTTCACTGTGCTCCCTGTTATACACCATTAACCACACACTCTCTCCTTCCTCCATCCCCTACCATCAAATCCTGAGAAAACAAACTTTTCAGTCCCTTCTTATGTGGCACATCCTCCCTGTAAGTGGCCGTAAATTATTCAGACACTAGTCAGTCATCGGAATATTACAAGAGACTGGTCATGTTGCCAACATATGGAGCTTAGAGGCACGTGGCTTTATTAAAATAAGTATTAGTAACCACCACACTGTTGTTTTCTTTCAAATAGCAGCTGGATGGCACAGATGGCAATTGCTAACATGCACCTCACATTGACTCACATGCTGATCTCACGTACGTATGTGCATCTCTCCCATCACTTCCGTGTGTCTTGTTCACGTGTATCCAAGGTCAGAATGTGGTTCCTTCCATGTACAGCGGTCACCATTAAAGGCAACAGCTGCCAACCCACACTACACAGTTGTCACACTGATTTCCTATTCTAAGCATAGGTGAAAATTGTGGGATCACTCTGACAAAAGCTTGATGCTGACTTGCTTAAAGTTATTTCATGAGCCATAAAAAAATGTCTGTTCTGTCAAATAGCAATGTGGGGTTTTCTTCTTTTTTTCTTAAACTATTTTTGTTCCCAGATCTAAAAATAGAACAAACAATCTTTCAAAGAAATTTCAACAAAGACAGAAAAAACTGTACTGCACCATTGTCCAGTAAGAATGCTTTTGATAGTCAGAAATAGGCTAAAGATATATTCAAGAGGCAGGGGAGATGTCTTAAAGAAGGTGCTTTCTATCTCCCAGATACTTTAGTTGTTTGCAGTGTTCTTGGACCCATGTTGGTCCCACTGTTTGGAGAGATAAGGTGAGCGAGGTAACATGTTTTGTTGGTGAGAGAGACACCAACAGAAGTTGGTCCAATAAAACATGTTACCTCAGCCTTGTCTCTCAAAGGCTATGTCTACACTGGAATAAAAGACCCATGGCACAGCTGTGGCTGGCCCACCTCAGCTGTCTCAGGCTGCAGGGCTAAAACTAGCTGTGTAGATGTTTGAGCTTAGTCTGAAGCCCAGGCTCTGGGACACTTGCCTGAGTCCAAAAGTCTACACAGCAATTTTGCAGCCTGAGCCCTGAGTCAGCTGACCTGGGCCAGCCCGTGGTGTTTAACTGCTATGTAGATATACCCTATGATACTTTAAGTATCATGCAAAGGAGCAACTGCTGTGATAGAATTGACTTTCTTTGGAGAAAAGAATTCCTATCATAAAACTTGTATAAATCTCCAAGGCTCCACTACTCTTCCCTCAGATAAGCACATGCCTCATCTCTCAGCTTCTCTGGTTAAGTTACGAGAGGGAACCACTTCCCTTTTTTTATCTCACATAAAAAAACCACACACAAACATGCTGGAGGAGGGGTGGAAATTCATGCAACTTGTGATCCATTGAGGGTCTGTGTGTTGTGTGGCTTGGTCATTATCAAGAGCAGGGAAAACCCAAACAACGACCCATGTTTTTTAAGCATAATTCCTCACTGGAAACAATGGGAAATTCTGATTTACAATCAAAGGCCAGATCTTGCCAAGAAGAGGATGTTTTCTCAGGGAATAAAGTCAATTACTTCAATGATCCCAAAAAGCTAATAGTGACTTTGGTTGGATTTGCTGTCACTTTGTCCCTGAGCTTAGCAATTTCCTGCACTTAGGCTTGAATGCCCATGGCAACTGATGCACTGGCAGGAAATACCCCAAAATGAAAGCTGCCCAAGTGTATATTTGCATTATAAACAGAAAGGAAACAATGGGGAAAGCTAGTACCTCATTTGGGGTCTTTAATGTTCACCCATCCTATAATACATCAGCCAGCTTCTGTTTGCACTTACCTAGCCATCCTTTGATACTGCCTGGCTGTTAACAGTAAGCTGTGGTTAGGATGTGACTCTGTCTAATCCATTATACAACAAATAAACCTTCAAAGTGACACATAAAGCTGGCATATCATTTGTCATATTCAAGGTTCATTTGCCACATAATGCATTAGACAATTCCCACATCTCCTCCACTGCACACAGATCCATTTACTAGCATTAAACTGTAGAAATCTATAGCTTTAATAACGTTTTATGGAACGGAGAATATAAATGTACCACGGTAAGTACTTATACAAAAGTTTGTTTGGTTTGCATTGTTAAAAGGTCATGCTCAGTGTCCATAACTGCCCAAACTCCGTCAAATGCTTTCCAGTTCCATTTAGAAGAAACAGCCTTTCTGAACATGAGTGGTCATTTGCAACAACCAGACTTTTAGCTCAAACCTGGAGATTTTGATACAGTTGAAATCTGGTTGATTTTTTGTTATATCTGAATAACTAGTCCACACATGCTGGAAGCACATTGTCTCTGCATCAGTGAAATAAAGTGGAAACTTGATTATCTGAATCCTGATTAACCAGCACTCTGTCATCCAAAGGTAGGATACATCTGCCAGTATTTGTTTTCAGCACATTAAGTTTACTATGTGGAAAGGCTGCAGAGTTCCCAGCTCTTTGTTTTCTTCTGCAAAGTTTATAAACTCTCCACTTTCTTAATGAACTAACAAACATTTTCAGACCTTATAAAAGCTGTTTATTTGAACCTTTGCGTGTCCAGTTTACTTGTATATTCCCTGTTACATTCAGTTAAGGAAGGAGGTGCAGTATTTTGTAAATAGAATGAAAGATTTTTCTCCACAGAGTGACTTAGATAAGAATTTCTAAGGTGCTGGTAGCTCTAATGGAGCAATAACCTTTATATTTAGGAACTGCTGGATTATACATTTTATTTTAAACAGTCTAAAAGCAGATTGTGTTTTTACCCTGTGTTGACACTCCAGCACACGTCGCTGTTCAAAATTACAAATTAGTTCTTAATCCTTTTGAAGAGCTGGTTTAAGAGTATAGTCACCATTATAATTAGCTTTAGAAGTCTTTCTAAACCCCACCAAATCTAAAAATTGATTAAACAGCCATCAGACTTTTGTTTAAACGCACCACTTAAAAATAATTTCTAGCTGTGGAATGGAAGGTGTTTTATAAGCTGTATAAAATTGCTTTCTACAGGTAACCATTACAAATCATAGATATTGCTGTAAGCAAAGTCTGTAAAGTGAGCAGTGAATTAACAGTAAGCAGGAACTGTAATATACTGTATATTGCATATCAGTGCTAAGCGATAGCAAAAGGGCAGTTCAGTGAAATGAGACAGAGAATTATGTGGGTGGCACTAGTGAAACTGAGATTAGAATCTGACACATGGTATTATCATTTTCCTTCACGTGTCTCTGCTCTTTAGTTTATACCAGTAAAATCAGTACAACACATCTGGACAAATTCAGAGGTGAGTTTAAGTTTAAATTGTAAATTACACTATCCCTCAGTCCCCTCAGCCTGTGTGGTCGACCTTGTGACAGTCTGTATGGTCCCTTAGACATATGGGGTGAAATCCTTGCCTCAATGACGTCAATGGCAAAACTTCCATTGACTTCAATGTGGCCAGGATTTCACTCACAATTATTGACAGTGTTTGTACTGCAGTAGCCCCCAGAGGATCAGGGCCCCGCTGTGCTAAGCACACGTACAATAAAAAGATATTCCCTGCCCCAAAGAGCTTGCACCATTATTTAGGGACAGGTTGTGACATTGCAGATGCACACTGAGTGGTATTCTATTGGCTCTATTGACTTGTGGTATTAATGCAGTCTGGCCCTCAGATTGACACCCACTAAACAACATGTAGCTTTGACTCCTCCCCTGCCCTGCCAGAAACCATTTAATGCTGCCCAGAGACGCACACATCGGCCGGGAATACTGACTGTCTGGGCCAGGGCCGGCTCCAGCATTTCTGCTGCCCCAAGCAAAAAAAAAAGAGCCGCGATCGGCGGCAGCAATTGGAAAAAAAAAAAAGCCGCGATCGGCGGCGGCAGTTCGGCTGTAGGTCCTTCGCTCCTAGAGGGAGCGAGAGACCTGCCGCCCCCGAATTGCCGCAGGTGCCGCCCCTCTCCCTTGGCCGCCCCAAGCACCTGCTTGTTAAGCTGGTGCCTGGAGCCGGCCCTGAGGAGAGCATGCCATGTACAGTGGTTGACTGCATCTCCTCTGGCCCGAAGCCCAGAAAGCCATAAGGTACACAATTTGCCCTGGTTTAACTAAAGGTATGTTTTTTAAACCAATGGTGTTGAACTAGTGCCAAGCCCTGTATGGACAGGCTTATACCAGTTTCCAACTGGTTATATTGACTGAGCTTGTGCCTGGAAAGGTACGGATGCAGGCTCAAGCCAGCTTTAAACCAATAAGTGCATCCACACAGGCCTCAGCACCAGTTTCACAAAATGGGCTTAAATACACACCTTTAATTAACGTGGTGCAATGTTGTGTATAGACCAGGCCTAACACAACAGCGTTGAGGACAGGACAGAGAACGGCTATAAGGGCTCAAGGTCATGCTGGTTTTCAAACTTTCTCAACATCTTGTCTTTGTGACATTATTCAGTCCCACAGAAAACAACCAATAACATGAAACCTTTAGGTCTTGACCCTGCAAGGTGTCAAGCACCCTCAGCTCCCACTGATTATAATGCAAGCGGAGGGCGTGCAGCACCCTCCCAGCATGCACAGCACCTCGGAGGCGTGCCCAGCGTCTTGCAGGATGGAGCACACACAGCTTGGAACACAAACTGCAAACACCATGAACTCAGACCAGCTTGCCATGTTTGGCTACAGATTGGTGTTACCTGTAACCAGACAATACACTTACAACGTTTTTTTTTCTTCTGAGACAACTTTTCACTAATCCTCCTTCTTCTCCAGTCTACTCAGGCAAACACATTCAGAAACATAGCGTATTGCATTTTAATCATCTCACCTGCAGAAGCCTTCATTGTCATATGCCAGGTTAGTCCCATCATCAAATACTGGTTTATTCCTGAAGGGTTTATTATTGTTGTTATTTCTGCCTTTAAAACCAAAATAAGCAGCTTGCATGTTTTCCAGTTCTTCACTTCTGAGCTGGTACCACAGTTGCATATCCCTGTAAATACAGCTCGGTTAAAATCTACAGTCAGGGCAGACATTTGTACAGTAGTTTAGTGCCTATGATTTAGGAACACATGAGCTTAAAATCATCTCTCCTGAGGAAAGCTCTAAAGCACATGCTTAACTTTAAGTTTGCACCTATAACCAGACGCAAGTATATGCCTTCCTGAAGAGGGACGCTTTCTTCAACTGCGGCTCAAGATAGGATAAATCTTATGCTTGAAAATTTAACCCAAAGTTTTGTACTTACTGTAAAAAACCATACGATTCTGGGCAATCCCTTATGGAACACTTAGGATGGTTCAAAGAAACCTGTAGAAAGGTTATTATTTTTATTCAAATCTATAGATTTTTAGAATAATTTTGATGTAATCCCTATTAAATTCCAGAGGACGTTCCCATGAGGAATGTAGTGCTTCCTAGGCCTGTTCAGTTTGGATGTGACAGCAACCCATCCTTTCCCTCCTTGGTCCGTTAGATATTTCCCTAAAGTTTAACTTCTAATAAAAGCCACATAGGGTAGGATCCTGTGTCCCTTCACAGACAAATGCTCATTGACATCAAAGGGAATCCATCCTGTCTACAAACAGCAGCATCTGGCCTTTTAAAAGTGTCACTGTTAAAAAATTGTTGGAACCTTATGGAAAAATGAAAACCGTTTTACTCTGAAAAAAAATCTGCAGTACTGTCAATTTCATGCATTCAAACAATAAATTAAACCTCAAAAATCATGATTTTTAAGCTGATTTCATGAGATTAAAACAAACACATTTGGGGCTTGTTTTATTTACCCTCTGGTGTCTGACCCCTTAGGATACCACTCATGTCACATTTTCAAGCTTTTCTCCACAACCACAAGGGTTAGAAATGGACTTATCTTGGTTTTAAAGGAAACCTGAGATTCTTACGACATCACGTGACTCCAGATGCTGGGGCTTTAAGGAAAACACCACATATCACAAGAGTTGTGATAGAATTTTGAGAGTTGGCAATTCTGATTTTGTTTTGCTCGGCCCTTGTTTTTTTCAGGATGCAATCCTGCTCCGACTGAAGAAAATGGGAGTGCTGCCCATTGACTTCAGTGGGAATAGGAGTGTGAGGGAGCTAATTTATCACTAAGGATGCTAGGATTTTCTGGGATCTTTGGCCTTTATTTCCTCTCCCCCACCAACCCCCAACCTCACTGTACTAACTTGTATTCCCTCTGAGCATCCTAGCGGCCACTCTCTCCAGGACGTGTCATTGCCACTCCAAGCTCAGAGAGAGAGAGAGGTTTCTATCATGTGTCACCAGCTGCTCTCCCCACTATGGGGCTAAGCCACACAATTTACCCAGTGTTCCCAGCACCCTCCAGCCACTGGAGTAGAGGATAAGCTCAGGACCTGAACCAAGAGCCCCCTTGTGGCAGCACAACAGAATGTCATTGGACCAGCCTGAATTCAGTTTTCACACATTTTTGGTTATATGGGTTAAAAACAGTCAAATGCAGGAGAGTAGCTAGACGTATGGCTGGGGGAAAGGGATGGCTATGGGGGAGTAGGTAGGCAATGGATGGAGAGGTGGTGGCAACAAACAGAGGATCCAAGAAAAGGGAATCATCTTATATTGTGATGATGTAGCTAGAGTTCATCGAAAATTTTCCAGTTAAATGTTTTTCCATCAGAAAATGCCCATTTGTTGAAAATGAAACATTCCACGGGAACATGTCGATTATGACAAAAATGTGTTTGGAAAAAAACTGAAAACAAGCGTTTTGATAACGTCAAATTTCTCACAACAAAAAGTTTTGATGTTTCATTTCAAAAGGACTTTTGGCTTAGAACTTTATTTTATTTCAATATTATAGTATAAAATGATGATATAATACAAAAATGTAAAAAAAAAATCAAAATCAAAACCAAAACAAAATACCTTGACTGACCCCAATTATTTTTCCCCGTAAATTTTGTTTAGTGAGAAATTTCAAAAAATTCTTTGCTTTTGTTCTGATTTCAAACAAAACCAAATTTCAACACTGTCGAACTTCCCGCAGAATGGAAATTCCGGTTCCGGCACAGCTCTAGATATACATGGAGGAGCCTGGAGCCAGAGCTGGCCCCATCACCTTGCCCTTCGCTGGCCTCATCTGCCCCATATTGCTCCTTCTGGGTTTGAATCCAGCAAGGCGAGCAGCAGGAACGGAGGTGGAGACAGTGCAGAGCAGGTACCACAATGGGACTTGATGGATAGGAAGCTGGGCTCTGGACAGGTGTGAAGGAGTCAGGAGGCATCAGGCCTGAGTACCACTGAAGAGGAATGCAGGTGTGGAAGTGGAATGTACCAGAGAGAAGAACAGGGGACAGCATCATGAGATTAGCAGTGGCACAGTTGCCAACATGCTCACTATCCTGCATGTAAATCTTTGCTTTTGGCAGAAGGTGAGATATGTAATGAGCTAGAGCTGTATCCTCCCAAGAACAACAGGAAATCAGATAGTGCATAAGGCTCTACTTGATCATTCAAGCACTTTTCACACCCTGGGAGGTAGGAGAAGTGGATTCAAATCTTTGCGTGATTCAGAGGAGGGATTTGAGTGGTGAGTCCCTTAAGCCCAGGTGAGTGCCTTAATCACTAGCCTAGAGTCACTCTCTCTGTCTGTGTAAATACTTAAATATTCTTCAGACCAAAGTGGAACAGCATTAGTAGGGAAGACTGAGACTAGAATAGCCTATAGCCTAGGGGTTAAGATGTTCAGCTAGGGAAATAGGAGTTCAAATCCTTGCTCCAGAGTGAGGCTCCAAAACTGGGTCTCCCATCCCAGGCACGACCCCCAACCACTTGGCTGAAGGCTATAAAGACACAGATACACACACAGTTTGCCAGCCTGAAACAAACTTTTCTGATTTGTGCACAAATTCCAAAGAGTTTCAGAACCAAGCCAAGTATTTTTTCGGTTTGCTGGCCAAGCTGGAAAAGTCAATTATTTGCCCAGCTTGAGTCAGGAAGCAAAGTCCTCTCTCTCACCACCACTCCTGTGCGTCACACCTCGGGTCCCTGTTTTAGGTCAACTTTACAGATGGCGGGCATTTTGGTGGCTGACCCACTGTGAGGTTAATTCTCCCAGCAGATTGTACTAAGAAGTAAAGTTAGAGCAAAGGGACACCAATAGATAGAGAAAAGGAAAGGGAATAATACAGTCCATTCCATCAGAATCCAAGGAGAGGGAGTATGGCCCAGTGGCTAGGACTTGGGTTCCACTCATTCCTCCATCACAACTTCCTGCATGACCCTGGGCAAGTCTCTGTGGCTCAGATCCCCGTCTATAAAATAAGGATACTACTACTTTACAGGGGTGTTGTTAGGATGAATATGTTTAAAAAGATGAGGTGGTTCTCAAATACTATGACTATGGGGGCCGTGTGAGTAAGACACGGGACTCTTCTCTGATGGGTATCTTTGTCAGTTTCACAAGGCTTTCGTTGTGGAATGAGACGTACCTTTCAGTTCTCCTCCTTTCATTTTTCTTAACACACTTGATAAGACAACAGGTCAAAAAAGCCATAGACATCAGCAGGATGATGGCACAGCTCACAATGGAGGCAATCACTGCTACTTTAAATCCAAAAGCCTCATATTTCGATATGGCTGCAGCAAAGCAAATATAGAAACAGGTTTCCAAAATGAACACCTTATTAAATTTAGCTCTCTCATTTCCATTAAACTGTGCTGAAGTCTACTTGCTTCACACTCTTGCTAATAATAATGCAATGAAAACTTTCACGTTAGTATGCCCTAAGACACTCAGAGACATTTGGCTTCATTTCAAGCTAAGGATGTCTCAAAGGTGGACTATTAAAAAGTCTCTTATTTATAAGTTACTAATTAATTGTTCACAAGTAACTTTGCCAGAGCAATTAATCAAACGCGATGCTGCCAGCATTGCAATAACAAAAAAAGCACAACTTTGTCAGTATCTCAAATGCAAATGATGTACTGGAGGTTTTCTGAAATCAAATTTTAACAAGGACTAGAGCTGTAAAAACAAACGCTGGAAAGGAAAGGAAAGATTTAAATGAGCCCTGCTTAGGGGAACAATAGTTCTGTACAATGATATCTTAGGACTGAGAATGGGACAGATCATGGAAGCAGCAGTAAACGTGCAGGGCTGGACGTTGGGGATGTTGTAGGGGTGAGAAAGAAATTATCCAAAGGAATGAAGAAGCAGGGGTAGGGTATAACAACCTATGCCAGTCCAGTTTGAGCACTGATATTGTCTTGTTAAAGCTACTCCTACTTCTTACAATACCCTGACTGCAAGGTTTAGAATTGTTTTTGTTGAATTCCATAGATAGCTTTATACTTTTACAATCTTTAAAACGGAATGTTCTAATTTACTTACTATAATGGAAGCCTCCTAAATCAGATGTAAATATGGCTCAATTGAAGCAGGAATTCCAGGTGCATGGCAAAGTTATTCAGCTACCTATAATGTTAACGTGAGACAAGGTCCCAAGCTTCAAACTTGAGGTCTAGTCTGAATTTCAAACACTCTGAAGTTCACAGGCACTGAGATCCAGAGTTTTGCTTTGGGCCCATTTCTAGTTAAATTATTGTTGTGTGTGTAATAAATAAGAAACAGCACAGAGTGAAAGGCAGCTAATGTTGTTGCCATTCAAGCCCTATTTTTCAATATGATAGCAGCTCCATTCTACTACCCACAGGCAACAGGGTAATTGTACTTTACAAATATCTCCATGTTCTTTGCAGCATGATTCCTCCTGAAAACAACGCAATTAAATAATGCAATATACAGGTACATTCTCATTGCTCATATCTATACATTTTCCTGACAAACAGCAGCACATTTTGCAGCTATAGAGTCAAATTTATCCCTGGTCTAACTCTACTGAGGTCACGGATATTAGACCAGGCACAAATCTGGCTAAAAGTCTTTGCAGTGTAGTAATTCATGTTGTCTGAATGTGCCCAGAGTGCCATTATAGCCAGTGGCAATAGTGATGAATGAAATTCAACATGCCCTCTTCTTTCCACAGAACTCTGGAATTAATCCCCATGTCATGCCAAAGCTTCATAGGTTACCCAGGGCAAACAAGGAGACGGTAACGCAGAAGAGGTGTTGAATAATTCTGGAAGAAGAATCCTTACGTTTGCATGAGGGAACTCCAGCAGTCCACTGTGTACTGTCTCCCTTCCATATGCAGGTTACGAGTCCCTGTCCCACAAGCAGGTGCTGAGCGGAGCACTGGAATGTTATCACCGTTCCGACGGCGGTGCCATCGCCATGAATTATCTGTAGCGTGCCAAGCTGAGGGGGAAAGATTTGGCTACAGTGCCCTGCAGATTTAAAAGAACAGAACAAAACAATGAAATGTTAGGGCCAAATCCCATGTCCACTGAAGTTAAGGGGAGTTTTAATTTTTACTTTAAGAGGATCATGTTTTCACTCAGTATGAGGAAATGGTCAATAAGCAAACAAACGGAGAGACTTCTTTAAAGGTGAAATTCACCTCTCAGCCGAGCACCAACCAATGGGCTAAGTCTCTTTTAAGCCCTACAGTGCACTGATAGCTGAATGGGATGGACGTAGATGGTGCATAGACTGTGTTGGCTCCCCATCAAGGGTGAATTTCATTCTAAATCTTTTGTGAGGTTCTCTATTAAGGATGCTACAGTTAAAAATCTATTTTGTACTATATTATGTCGTGCTATCAAATTGCTTGCATTCAAATTTTCTTCTGAGGCCTTACTAGTGTCAATTTTGTTTTATTTGCGTGTCAAGAAAGATCTTAGTACCTCAGAGTTTAATGCTAGAGTCAATTATCTCTGCTTTTTAAAAACATTTCTCTTTAACTCTGTCCTCGGTAGTAACCTCTCCTTCCCCCTCACTTTTCTCCTTGTACTAAAATCTTTAGTTCATATTGTTCTCTCTGGAATAACTGAGTGGTAGGTGCTTTGTGACCTGTTTTGGCAGTTATCTCTATATACTGATTGTTACTGCCATGAAATGCTTCATTTAGCATTTACTGTCCTACTAGTTTTTTAATACAATTTAATTGCTCTGTCGTTAAGAAAATATACACCATTCTGATACAGCTAAAAGACAACAAAATGGAGTGATTTTTCTAGTCTCATATGTTTAGACTAACATAACCCTGATATCATTGTATGCATCCTTTCATTCATGTTTAGTAAACACCAGTGTTTCTATTTTTCAGCATTTTAACATCTGAGACTCTGATCCTTCCATTGATTCTCCCAAAAACTTCAGTGGGCATCCATACACACTCAGCGGCAGCTGCACCACCGGTTGCAACACTGGGGTTTTAACTATTATAATAAAAATAATAAAGGAGGTGGGGAGTTGCTCTTGAACTGTTTATAAGAGAGCAGAGATTTACAATTACCAAGAACTTTCTTCTTCTTATAACTATTTAGGAACTTTTAACAGGTTTACATGTTCATATATATATATAAACATGTAAACACATACACACAAATATATACACACACACACACACACACACACACACACTTAGAGAAAAATCCTGGTCTTATGAAACTGGTCAATGAGAGTTTCGCCATTGATTTCAAGGGGACCAGGACAGGGCCCTTCTTGGGACCTGATTCTTTTTTTGGCTTACTTTGAAGCCTTTTCTTAAGGTCCAGCATTCAGCAACGGACTAAGATGTAATTAAATAGCAGGTGCCAAAGCTTGAATTCTATGGGAATGGCACACACATGCATCCTATGAAGAACTTGGCCCTGTGTTTAATTAATGTTAAGCTTCTGATATAAATACAAAAGCCAGGTTGTTTAATGTTAGATATAACTACCTGCCCTCAATTTATGCCCTTAAAAAACAAACAAACTAACAAAAGCCACAGTGACAATTACTGTTCCAATCTATTATGCAACTATGTATTAAGGACTTGATTTTAAAAATATGACACTTGAAACCTGTGCATGGTTCTTTCTGTTTGCTGTGTTAGCTCTTTCAAACTTGTATCAATAAGAGCAAATATTTCCTAGCGAGATTTCCCCTTGATCCCCCTTCCCCCGCCCCAAATACCTGATCATTAGTGCCTGCCTGATATGTGAATTGTGCACCCTCTCTTTTTATTTAAAGGGACTACTGTGATTTTTTGAAAATGGGTTCAGAGTCTTCTCCTGAAAAGCAGTTGTCACACCTGCAAAAATATAAATATCTGCTTCAGATAGTTTGGAGTTTCATGCTTTCATTTTTTAAAATGCCAGAACACAGAGTATGTACTGCCAATAAAGTGATCGGAGTTGACGTCAGTTGACACTGATAACAGTGGAAAGTGCACAGTGTAACTTTGAGCAAAATTTGGTACATAGTATCTCTCTCAAGCAGTATAAACTAGCCTTCATTAGAATCACTTAGTACACTTGTCTATTGGCCTGAAAGCTCTAGCATCTTCATCCAATAACCATTCTCCAAAGAACAGATAATTTGCCATTTGATTCTTTCCTTCAAGATACATTTAAAATAATCTGTTGACCTTCTTCGAAACATTAATACTCCAGTATCTAGTTAAATTACTCCTTACTCTTTCTGTCCAATGCTTAATTTGTAATGAAAGAGGTGCCGGAGCTCAAGCAATTTTTTTACATTCATAACTGATGCAGCAAGCCCAGGGGTGCCAGGGTTAGGCACTGCCAAGCGTAGAGGCACCAGGGCCCAGCCCTGGCACAAATTAAGCACTGATTCCTGTCCCATAATGATATATGTAGAGCAGTGGTTGCGCTCGGCCAAACCTGCGGACGCGGCAGGTACACAAACCGGCCCGGCCCGCCAGGGGCTTTCCCTGCACAAGTGGCGGAACAAGTTTGGGAACCACTGATGTAGAGTAATGAAAACTTCTGAGCTCCAATTATCTTGCTGGCATTCCTTCTTGAGCTGTGTATTTTCAAACATTCCCTTCACTTGAGCCTTTAAGAGTGTCTAAGTCTTTCTCATCATTTGATGTGCCACTAAGCCGTGTGTATTTCCCTGGTGTGCCCCTGGGTCATAGTAGCATTATGCCATCTCCTTAGGGAGTATTCCTGGACAGAGTGTACTTGTGAAAATGACTTCTCTGGACAGTGGCTAGTAAAGGGCAAAGCTTAAAAGGTTCAGTGGTTGAGTTTAAACAATCATCCTAAAGTTCAGAGCTAATCTGAAACTTAAACTATTCAAATCTCTGTGATCTGAAAACTGGGCTAGAAATCTTGTCAGATCAGCTCTTGGACAAAACACATCTTTATTTTGCCCAGGCATACTCTCGTGTGGGATTTCAGAAGGCTGAATTCAGGAAATGCAGAGCGGGGCTAGGGTTTTGTTTTGTTGTTTCTTTTGGAGGTTTTTTTCAGAGCATTATCCAAATGCACAGAAGGGTCTGGGTTTGTTCCAATTTGAATTTGGGGATAACTTTCAGGTCAGTTCTTCTTTTATCTAGAGATGGGCCAAAAGCAAAACCCTGGATCAGAGCATCCTTGAACGGTGAGGGATGTCCAGGTCCAAAGCAGAGCTTTGTGGCTCAGACTCAACTCCAATTTTTTCAGAACTATTCCACTCATCCTTATTTTCTCCTCTTCTCCTACGTGTTTTTTTTTCTCTCTTATGTGGCTCTAATACCTGCTGATATTAACAACATGTAATCTTTTTACAGCCATTTCTTGCAGTGACTTTCCTGCCATTTTAACCTTACTCTTCTGTTTCTAGAAAGATGATCATTGCTGTAAGTTTCCTGCCCTTCTATTTAGATAAGCAGATGTTCGATAGCTTTATCCTTTGTATACTCCTCAGGCATGTTCATCTGACTAGATCCATTATAATTAGGAAGTTAGTTTTACATGTAGAATATTTGCTGCTAAAGTGCCTCCTGAAGTAAAACATAATTGCTGGATAAACATCTGTGATAGCAAAGTTGCGTCTGGACCTAAAATTTCTGGATACATGAGTGTCCAGATCTAGGGTTTTGGTATGTGTTTATATCTAGAAAATATGAGCTAAAACAAAACAAACATTGTTCATGCTCCTTTCATGTCTTTGCATCTTCGAGACATGCAGCTCCTTGTCAACTAGGGCTCAGTCCTGTGAGGAATTTGAGACTAATTTGTGGTCTGTATCATTTGTAAGCAGGTCATTGTGAGTACTCAAAATTAATGAGGTCTTGGGTGGTTTGACTGGTCCCAAGGTCTTATTGCTACTCCTTTAGCTGGTGAGTGCAACTTTTAGAATCTGGTGACCATTACAAATACGAGTTCAAAATTCACTATTTACATTTTCTAATATTAGTTTACTACAGATATTTGCGGCGAAGCAAGCAGAATGGACACAAGTTCTTTTTAAAAATTCAAATGCAGTTTTGTTTGTTTGATTAAGTAAGGGGGATTAACCAAACTGCTTGACTAATCTTGCATAACACCTGCCTACACTGTGTATGGTTCTGGCATATGGTATCAGCTCTCATCTTTCAAAAATAGTAGCAATAATCACTCAATTTTAGAAGCAGCCTCAAGCCACAAAATTTAGATCCAGGTTTGAATTTTGAATGCCCTAACGTTCACAACATTTGGAATTTTGTGTCAGCTCTTTGCAGAGTGAGAGGTCACTTACAAACATTAATTTCTCAGTTTGAATTCACATTTAGAGCAATCTCAGGGTGTTCAGATCTTGCATTTTGGTTTAGGTATGGGGCCATTAAACTTGTTCAACAGTACAAAAGAATGGCATTATCCACAAAAATAAACAGATCATTTCATATGATCAACAGATCAACATCCCAGAATGAAAGCTATTTAAATGTGGCGTAATCTGTAAACTTTAATTTACTCAAACCAGGGTTTTTTCCGAAGTAGACAAGTATATAATTTCCAGACATTGAAAAATAAATAATATGAAATGGTTAAAAGAAAAAAATCTAAGATAAAATAATACAAAAATTTCCTCCCATGGCCAGGTAAGATTATCTGCATAGCAGTACCAATTTGTCAGAAACAGTTACCAAGCACACTTTGGATTTATATTTTGCTGATAAGAGAACAAACATGAAATGGCACTCTGAGAACATTTGCCTAGAAAACATTTCTTGGGCACCTTCTTCCTGTATTATACAGAAAAACAGAAGAAACAGCAGACAAAAATCTGTTGGCAAAGGCACAAGTTGATCACTGCTCGCCAGTGATTCAGAAGTAGGAAGATCCTTGGCTTTCTCTCATTATCCCCATTACTCACGTAAACCTAGCTTTTCATGAAACTAAAACATAGCACAATAGCCAGATGCCAGTAAGAACTAGAACCCCTGGCTCACTAAACCATTATGCCAGTA